TCCTTTCAGAAGGGGATATGGAGCTGCAGGGATAACCCGACTACTCTGAGCTCTAGGATGTTGATAGGGAGTCTGGTTTCCTCTTTTCAACATGTCCCATGAATTGTCAAGGATTGGAAGACTCCTCCCCAGCCTGACAGACTTACGTCTGTTGCAAGGACTTTACAGTGGTACGGAAGGAATGACTTCCCAAGAGATAGAGATTTTCATACTTTTGGCTCAATTTTCATACTTTTGGCTCTGTATGCCAACAGAATAAATTAAATGAAACAATCCAAATGAATTTGAAGTGCAGACTTTCAGCTTAAATTCAAGGGGTTGAACATTAATATCAAGTACAAATTTTAGTAACTGCAACCAATTTATACACAGTCCCTCCATTTTCAGGGGCTCAAATGTAATTGGACAAATTAATATCATAAATAAAATGTTCATTTTTAATATTTTGTTGAGAATCCTTTACTGGCAATGACTGCCTGAAGTCTGGAAACCACAGACATTACCAAAGACTAGGTTTCCTCCTTTCTGATGCTTTGCCAGACTAACTGCAGTTCTTTGTTTATGGGACTTTCTGCCTTTAGCAAGTGAAATGCATGCTGAACTGGGTTGAGATCAGGTGATTGACTCGGCCATTGCAGAATATTCCACTTATTTTCCTTCAAAAGCTCCTGGGTTGCTTTTGCAGTGTGTTTTGGATCATTGTCCATCTGTACTGTGAAGCGCCGTGCAATCAACTCTGCTGCATTTGGCTGAATCTGGGCTGACAGCATATTTTTAAACACTGCAGAATTCATCTGGCTGCTTCGGTCTTATCATCAATAAACACCAATGACCAGTGCCGCTGGAAGCCATGCATCCCCATGCCATCACACTGCCACCACCATGTTTTACAGATGACGTTGTGTGCTTTGGATCATGAGCTGTTCCAAGCCTTCTCCACACTTTTTTCTTCCAGTCATTCTGGTACAGATTAACCTTCATTTCATCCATCCAAAGAATGCTTTTCCAGAACTGGTCTGGCTTTTTTAAAATATTTTTTGGCAAAGTCTAATCTGGCTTTTCTATTCTTCAGGCTTATGAAAGGTTTGCACCTTGTGGTGAACCCTCTTTATTTGCTCTCGTGAGGTCTTCTCTTGATTGTAGACTTTGACAATGATACACCCACCTCCTGTAGAGTGTCCTTCACTTGTCTAGAATTGTGAATGGGTTGCGATCATCTACCATTGTTGTCTTCCATGGACGTCCATGCCTTTTTATGTTGCTGAGCTCACCAGTGCGATCTTCTTTCCTCAGAATGTACCAAACTGTTGATTTGGCCACTCCTAATGTTGCTGTTATCTCTCTGATGGATTTGTTTAGTTTTTGAAGCCTTACAATGGCCTGTTTCAATTGCATGGACAGCTCCTTTGAACGCATGATGTAGGTTCACAGCAATAGATTCCAAATGCAAATACAACATTTAGACCTTTTACTGAAGACCTTTTACCTGCTTAATTGATGAAGAAATTACAAAGGACTATCCCACACCTGGCCAACAAACAGCTTATGATTCAATTATCCAATTACTTTTTGTCTCTTGAAAAAGGGGGGATGGCTAATCTTAAGAGCTGTAATTCCTAAATCTTCCCTCCGATTTGGATGTACATACCCTCAAATTGTCTTTCAGCTCATATTCATTATGTAATATAGCTTGAATATGTTTTGGTAAATACCTGAAATTAAAATTGTACCCGAGTCCAAATATATATGGACCTAACAGTATGTCTACTGCCAAAGTCGGAGAAGGACCACAGTGATGTGGCCAATTATCGTCCAATATCATTCATTAATACAGACTTAAAATTACTGAAGAAAATCTATGCCAATTGGCTTAATACATTTTTTTGCAAGATACATTCATGTGGACCAGGTGGGCTTCGTCCCAGGACAGCTGGTCATCCACCTGAGACTGAGTGGTTGGATATTAACACGAGAGACCGGAGACTGAGTGGCTGGATTTTAACACTAAGTTTGAAATTTATTCACTTCATAGTGCAGACTTTTCAAACACTGGCCCGGTTTAACCTGTAATGGTCAAATATAGGGTGACCCTGTCCTACCTGTCCATGACGCTGGACTGTGTATAAAATGTCAAAGCATCACCTGAGACAGTGGACATACCCCCAAAGTGGTCTTTAGGGACTGCGTTCCATAGCGAAGGACCACTACCTCGGACCTTGTGGCTGACTCAACGTGTTGTACCAACTGCCAAGGTGATTGCCCCACACAGGATCCAGTACCTGAAGCAATATTACAGACCATGCCCACACAGGGATATTGAATTTATATCACTTAGGACATGTAGTTCCGGGCATTGGGGAGGTCTTTTTTTTTTTTTTTTTTAACCTTTAGCCCTGTTGCGGGCAAGCAGCAGCCCAATTGCTTTCACATAGGGGACTGGCTGGCGCTGTGGGCTATGTGAAGAAAAAAATGTTTTCTTCATTTTTGTTTTTTTTTTTTAACTAAATTTAAAAAAAATAAAGTTACAACCAAGCACGTAACATCTCCTCAAAAAAAAAAAAAAAAAAGGGCACGTCGCCCCCCCTCCCCCACATATACGCACATTCAAACATAAAAGCACACGGTGGGGCACCTATGCATGAAAACGTCGACTGCGATACCCACATTACATATTGCTGCGCACACCAGAATGAGAGCAATAATTGTAGCATGAGACATCCTCCGTAAAACTATACGGATGACCTGTAAGGTGCTTTAAAAGTATCACCTATAGAAAATATAGGATACTGAAGTTTGTCGCCATTTTACGAGCACATGCAAATTTAAGGTTTGACATGCCAGGTATCTATTTACTCGGTGCAACCTCATCTTTTATATTTACAAAAAAAAAAGTTAATTTTAGGGCACTAAAAAGCAATAAATTACCCCAAGTTTTATTTTTACTGAAATTTTGCAGTAATATGCGACAAACAATTAGAACTACCACTATTTTATTCTCTAGGGTGTCTGCTTTCAGAAAATATGTGTTTTGGGGGTTTTGTGTAATCTTCAAGCCTAAAATAAATTTTTTAAACTTGTGTAAAAAATTAAAAATGGCTCTGGCAGCAAAAGGGATAAAAGGATAAGTCCAACACTTTCCTAACAAGCACCCAACCGGTTCAAGGTCTCTCTCCTCCCTGTTTAGTCCCCAGGTGCAGTGCTGGAGAGGCAGGCAGGGAGGCGAGGAGGAGACAAACAGCACAATGTTAAAAATATTGAACGTTTGCCATAAAGCCCCGTTTGATTTTAAAAGCTCCAGACATTCCTAAAAGCACCTCAGATTTGAACACGGTTTTGGCTAAAATGTATTTTTTTTTCTTTTTTATAGATTGTCCTGGACAAGTAGATTGGGACCCAATTTAGTCTCTGGACAAGTAGTTTTTTAAACAGTTTACCACACCCCTGCCCACAACATGAGGTCCAGATATGTTGACTGAAGAGCTCGAAGAAAATAAGAAAAATAATAAACTTGAAAAGCTGATCGAGTTATAAGGAAGGTGTCCCAGAGGGGCGTGTCCTCCAAAAGTTTTCCAGTATCCAATCACCTGAAGATCCCCACCTATAACCCATGGTGTGTGAATGTTACCTGTGTCCTGTACTGTAGGATTATGATGTGTTGTTACTGGCTGAATTACCAGGTAACAAAGAAAAAAGACTAAAGAGACAAAAAAAATTCAGCCAGCACATTTAAAGAGTGGTAAACTGCAGTATATAAAAATTTTGTTTTAAGGCTTATGGTTGAATCTTTATTGTATTAAATGGCAACCAATACATGCTTAACAAATAGAGGATAATCCGAATGGTATACATAGTATAAAGGCTGGTTCGCAAAACTTGGGTGCAGGAAATGTGTTTACGCAAATGTTTCCCGCACCACACAGAAACTTGCTGCACTCTGCAGATGCTTGTGGGTGCCATTAAGAATTAATGGCAGCTCCATGCATCTAACACACATATGCATTTCTGGCCACTCATGGTGTTGCAATATCATGCAGTCTGGTGCAGCTCAATTATTAAAATTATTAAAATTGTGCCTGTACTTTTGCATGTCCTCATACTTAGCAGCCCACTAAAATTTATGGCTGACCAAAATGTACCACACAGAAACGTGTGTATTCGGACACACTTTTAATTGTGTGAACCAGCCTTAAAGTACAGTGATGTTTATATTTTAATTTCAGAGTTATAAAACGCAGGTACTGGGATATCCTATGATAAGAGCTACTAGTAACTGAGTAAAAACAATCCAGAAGACCTGTCCTTATAATGTTACAGAAAACTTTTCTCAAAAAGGATCAATATTGAAGTATGACCCATGCAAAGTGTGAGTTCCCCTTTACAGATGTACAGGTACAGATCAGTGTAACTAACACCAGACAATCCCCACAACCCCCACCTCCCAAACCTAAGTGTACCTACCTAGGGTTGCCAAGCTGTCAGTAGTCACTGTAGCGGTCCGTCGACTTGAAATTCCTGCTCTTCTCTGTGCAGAGCTTCTGGGACAGAACAGATCGATTCTTACTGGTCAGCACTGTCACAGAGAATCGATCTGAACTGACTTTGCAGTGCAGAGAAAAGGGAGAAGAGCAGTGATTTCAAACCCCGGACTGCTGGTTGGGCAACCCTAGAGGTAAGTAAAGTGACCGGGGGGGGAGGATTTACTACCTTTACAGTTTTCTGTAAATATGAACTAACCCTTTAAGATGTTTGCTATGCTCCAAAGGAAATATACCGCCCTACACATGGGTAGGGAGGAAGAGTGGAGGTACCAAGATTTATAGAGATCAAAAAAGGGAGGTGTGGGTTTAGAACGTGAGCCAGGTTAAATAATTATTGATTTTGGGTTTAGCTATACAAATTCTAACTCCACCAAAATGAAAGGCAGCACAATATGTGTATGATCTCTCATCAATCAAATCTGATTAAAGTTGAAGTTTAGAAAAACAGTTCAATCCACTCACTTGTTCATATCTGTCAAATTATCTGCCGCAAATACAAATGGCTTGTACATGTGATGCGTAAGCTGAAATTCACTGAGAAGACACAAGAAGAGAAGTTTTGTGTATACACTGGCAGCTACCCTGCATACTTGAACACATATAATGCAGTTACTGCATACACTTACTATTTCTTTCTGTGCTTTGATTCCCATGGGCTCTCCAAATAATATGTAGAGAGTTTTAACATTCCCAGAGCTTTCTCATCCTAAATTGTGTTTGTGAGAGAGAAGGTCAGAAACAGCAGCAGGCTGCTAAGATGCATACAAACATACATAATTTTGAAGAAAATAAAAAAAAACACAGGAGATTTAAAAAGATACCCATTTAGGTGTTAAGGGGAGGTTAAAGAAAACCTGTCATGAGAGAAAATACTATAAGTAGGATGTTACTGCAGATCTCTCCCTCTGACAATGCTGGTTCCCCAAGGACTGATGTTGCTGTTGCAGTGTGGAGAAGCCTCAATGTGTGTATGTGACCGCCATTTTGGTATATGAAGGAAATAGATGATCTCAGAAATTTGCCGATTGTTCCCAAGCCCCTGACACACGTACCTGAGGTCCATTGTACCAGTACAATTTATCTTTCTTTAGGACACAGTAGCAGTGTTTCCATTTCTGAGACATGAAACTGATATTTTCTTTCTTCTTCCATAGCCAGCCATCACAGTCTGGACTTCCCAAGTCTCGACAAGACACTCTTCTGCGGCTCAGCTTAGTTGCTAAAACAAATTAGAAAAAAGTATTAAAAAGTATTGTTTTAAAAGAAGATCAAATGCCTGTAAATAATCTAAATGATACTTTAGATTTGCAGGAATCTGGTCGTCTTTTAAAACAAGAAAACAAAGCTATGGGTAGAATAGCTGCAGATGTAGGAAAAGATAAACCTTTTCTCATTTATGTCACGTTACATGTGAATTCATTATTTATGAATTGCAAACACAGTTTTGGCTAGATAAGTGCTGAAATAGCATGTATAATAAAATAAAAGGAAATTAATAATTACATAATAAAGCAAAAAAACAGTTCAATTTTCTTCTATGCATCTTTACACCTTCTATTGGGAACGGCGTGTGTAAATTTAATTTTTATTTTTTCACCAATCTAGTAGTAAACTTGAAAGGAAAAATCTCATTACATATAAAACTACAATTGATGACATCTTTGAAAGGTAATCAGGATTATCTGTATTCAATGCTTTCTAAATCGTTGGGGTTGATTTACTAAAACTGGAGAGTGCAAAATCTGGTGAAGCTGTGCATGGTAGACAATCAGCTTCTAAGCTTGTTCAGCTAAGCTTTGACCAAAAAAAAACAAAAAAAAAACCTGGAAGCCGATTGGTTTCTATGCACAGCTGCACTAGATTTTGCACTCTCCAGTTTTAGTAAATCAACCCCATTGACTCATAAGGAGTATGCAAATAAGGATTTATGTTAAAAAAATAATGCAGGCCATACATGGTTCGAATTCCGAAAGATTTTTTGTCCGAAAACCAAAAACGTTGTTCGCTCGGTAACCAGATGGTGCCATCAATGATTTTGAAAATCGGTCATAAAGTTCACTCCATATAACAGGCGAAACTTCTGTGCCTTCCAAGTCACGACTCATGAGCATATTCTTTTCAGAAAAACAATTGTACGATTTGACCATCATTGAGTCGAAAATCTGTAGTTTTGCACGAATTTTCCAACATGCCAGATCACCAAAAAGGGGAGGAACCACGAAAATCATCCGGTGCCATTGACCCACTAACAGAGTGAAAATCAGCCGATTGGTCTTAGGTCCAATCTTCGGACGAAAAAAAAAAAAAAAAAAAAAAAAAAAAAAAAAAAAATCGGTCGAATTTCGACCCATGTATGGCCGGCATAAGTTCACCTTTGTAAAAAGAAGCAGATCGCGGGTGTCGGTACTTGCAGTTCTCCCAATCACAGAATGGGAATGAATGGACCAATGTAAGTACGCAAGTATCATACTTGGCCAATCCCCGTGAAGCTGGAAATCACTGTAGTAGGCACCACAACTACAGTGATCACTGCTTGCTTCTGCATCCTGTACCAAGCAGTTGCCTTGCGGCTTAGTGAAGACAGGAGGTTACTCGCTCAGCACAGGTGCCACTTAGAACGCTTGCATTCACTGAGAAAATGCAAAGCGTTTTCTGACTGAGGTGGAGAGGTAGGGCAATAACATGATCACCTCATCTAAATCAGTGAACGCTTTGCGTTCATTGAGAAAATGTAAAGTGATTTCTGAATGTCGCCCATTCTAAGCAGGTGACCTAATATAGTTACCAATCAGCAGGACAGCTGTTCAATATGGGACCCAGGAAGCTAGTGGCAATCACTATAGTAGTGGTGCCTACTACAGTTTTTTTCCAGCTTCCACAGGATATTAGCCTGCTATGGACACACACATACATACTTACATTGGTCCAAGCTGTACCAATGTAACTGTACAAAAATTCTACAAACCTTCATCTTTAAAGAAATAAAATGCAAACAAAACTGCTCCTATATCACATGCCAAACCTTTAAAATTGACTCCAAGTTAAACCTGTTTCCAAATAAGAAAGTTAACACCTCTAATACCAATTTCTATCTCAAATAGCTGATCTGTAGGTGACAGAATGGGATGTCAAAAACAAAAGGGTGTCAATCATGTGTTGCCTTGCAAGATACTGCATGTCACAAGAATTCAAAATACTTCCACAAAATGCTTTAGACAGTAGAAATACATCACAAGAAAAGCTGAGGATCATATATACCTTTTTGATTTCGGGGAGCTCGATCAGATGTCTGAAATACAGTGGTAAGAGAAAAAGATTTGAACACCATGTACAAAATAATTTGACAATAGGATAGGGCAGATTGCATTACAGTACATACACACTACAGCAACTGTATGTCTAGCCACCGCTTGTGGCCATCCTGAATTTTATATGGTCAGTTCCCTTTATCTTATTTTGTTATTGTTTTTGCACCTCTCTTTGATGGAATAAAGTTCCCTACAGTATCATGCTATGTGGTGTCCCTTATTGGCCTCTCTTTGTGAGGGCCCTCATCCACAGAGTCTGCTTTAAAGGTGACCCCAGATGGGGATACACATCAAGGACCCCTGAGCACCCTATTCAGATGTGACCAGAAGGTGTATAGGAACCGGACCTGACCTGGGAAGCGGATGACCTGAGTAACACCTGATGAGACAGGCTATATCTCAAATGCATGTATTTACACACTTCTGGTGAGTGTGCAATTTACTTAAATCGGATTTATCATCTGCCACCCCGGATCAGATTTCCACGCATGCTTATCGGGATCGTACAGGATCCTCACGTGGGCTGTTTCATTTGGGACATTTATTCACTAAGCTCAGCACTTGGTGACATCTCATTTTGCACTTTATTATTCTGTACTTTATGCTATTACGTATTATTTTGCACATTATGTTTTAACACTGCACCTTTATATTGATATACTCTTTGGAAGGTTTTGTTTGGTTGCCTTTTTGGTGTTCCAGCGGCTGTTTTCTTTTAAGGTAGCGCTTGCTTTATTATCCTTTATTTAGTACATACACACTGCAAGCATATTTATAACAAAGTACAGGAAAAAAGCCTATTGGATGACACAAGAAAAAAAAAAAAAAAAAAAAAGGAAGGAGAAAGGAGGGACACTATACTCAACATAGTAGCACTTATGCAAAGCAGACACAAACACAGCCCTCTCTGTTCTATGAGCAGTCAGATGTAAATGGTCTGGCAGCCGTTTACACCTGACTGCCCTCCAATCTGGCCAGACAGAATAGAACAGATCCCCTTCCGTTTATTTTTGGTGGACCACTTTGGAGGTAGGTGGGTGTAAATGGACACAAACTGCTGTTAAAAGGGTGTGTATAGTGCTTTATATATAGTTTTTCTTTATTAAGTTCAGGGCAAAAAAAAATGATTTTATGGCAAGTACAAAAATGCTGAGATTTGTTTATTTGAGTTTATTAAGAAGAAACAGAATTCGGTTATTCAGAACCAATGAGGATACAGCCAAGTAACTGGGCACTGGCAAAAAAAAAAAAAAAAAAAAAGCCATTGGCCAGTTAGATATAACCCCTCCCACTCGCATCATGCTTCAGGTTTTGAAGAAAGTCAGTATGAGGCGTAGGTCATGAACAGAGGGGACTTGTTTCCCTTAATGAACTCCAAGAAAAACCATTTCATGGTAAGTATTAAATGCTATCATCTTTCTTGTTCATTAAAGTAAATTAGATGTCCCAACTGTCTCAGAATAACATAATCCTAACGCAGAACCAAAAATTTTAAATCCACAGGGTCACAGGAGATTGTACAGGAGGGGCCAAATGAAGACACCCTGTGCAAAAGTCTTGGCTAATGAATCACAAGGGCAGAAAATTGCCTTGAATGCAGAAATGTCACAATACTTCCCACAAACTATTTCTGGGGGAGCAATGAGATTCCTCTGTTGACCAAGTCACCTGCACCAGTAAGGTGTCTTATGCTTTAGGCTGGCATCTGTAATGATCTCTTAAGAAACTGGATTCTTGAGCCAGCAGACCAGAGATAAGCTGGTCTTTGCTGTCACGTAAGTCAACTTGTCTAGAGACTTGACCAATTTGTCCTACAATGACAATGTTCCATTGTAGGGGTTTAGAATAGAACTGAGTAAATTGTACCGACTTAGAAGTGTTTACCATCCAGCCCAGAACTTTCATGGAGAATCACAGTTGGACAGGTCATGGACTATAGGTTCAAAGCATGGAAGCATAGAGTTAGTTTGGCTCAAGCTGTGCCTAGTATAGGAGCCAGGTACTCCAAGCAATGTGTTGGTATCCCACAATGGGAATGCCCTGGAAATGTAAGGCTAGAACAGGTGGCACTAACGTAATAAACATTTGGGCTGCAGAAAACAAAATGCTAGGGCTACAAACAGATAGTGCTGTGTGCTCATAGCATAACAGAGATAGCATTAAATGTGTAGGAAAGATGGGGACATGCAAGTATGCAACCTTGATGCCCACAAAGGCTAGAAAGTCTCCTTGACGGTGGAAGACTATGACAGACCTGGTAGGTTTCATGTAAAATGTTTGGATGCAAATTAAGACATTTACAGCGATTGTAAACCCTCAGACAAATTATGAACAAAGCATATCCTTCTATAGTGTGTACTTGTCCCAATCCAGAGCACTAGGTCTCATTTCTTTCTGATACCCCATTCCTTTGCTATCTGCTTCTGACAAGTTTTCCTGACACCAAGCGGTAAAAAGGTGACGGGAAGGAGCACCTAAATGAGCTCTGCAGAGTAACTTCAGTTCCCTGCCCCCTACTTTCTGGAAGCTCAGACATGCTGTATAATTTCTTAATGTTAAATGGATGTAGAGTAAAAAAAAAAAAAAACTGCATTTAAACAGATACAATTTATGTAGGAGGATTGGTTTAATCTCTGTGTATAACCTGAGGCTAGTCACTTTGCTGGATATACGTAAGGGTTTACAACCACGTGTACACTTCACCCCTGCCTCCCTTTTATTACACACTCCTCACACATCTGGCGGTCCATAACTCTGTGCCCACTGAAGCCCCTTCCTGAACCTGCAGTTTTGGGTCAGAGAGGCAATACATTGGCCACCGGGAGGTGACCCCATTAAGGAGTCATGGGGAAGAACTCTCTAGCTACCTCGGCCAAGGCAGCCAAACCTAAAATTGCCTCCATTAAGGCTAATCCTACTAAAAGATCTCACTCCAAAATGGCCTCGCCGCAACCTTGGCCTGAATACCCAAGTCTTTCCCAAGAGACCGGCTCTCTATTAGATGATTCGTCTAACGACGGACTCTCAACGATACAGAACGAAGAACCTATAGATGTGGCGCTCCGTGACTTAGCCCTACTTGAAAAAAAACTCAAACTCCTTCTTCAAAAAGGAACTGAATACAGCCATGGAACAACTTATCACCAAGATTACACATGAAATCAGAGACATAGGTTCCCGAATTGACTATCTCGAACACAAAATGGATGATGCCATTCTAGTAAATTGATAAACATGAACAAGATCTCGACACGATAAAACTAGACCTCTCCTCTGCTTTGCAAAAACTTGAAGACAGAGAACCGCAACAGGAGAGGCAATTTTCGAATCAGAGGCCTTTTGGAATCTATAGGAGGACTTAAATTCGACAGTCGCAGCGCGTTGCTGCAGGAACTAATCCCTGGTACCCCAATTGAACAACTAGAATTTGGCAGAATCCACAGAGCTCTGGGCCCTAAAAAAACCTGAAGGTCCTCCCCAGGATATCATCAAACCTACGGAGGCTGTTATGCAAGCAGCCTGGTCTAAGAGGGACTTGACCTTCCAATCCTACAAATACCAAATATTTTCTGACCTCTCCCCGCAAACGCTTCAGGGGCGAGAGAACTGAATACTTTTGTCCAGGTACTACAAAACCAACGCATCAAATACCGTTGGTGCTTCCCATTCGAATTAACCTTCTCCTTTCAAGTTTGCCCCCATATCTTCTCCTCGCCAGAAGAAGCTCAGGAAGTTCTCACTAGATTACAACTCATGCTTCCCTCCGCTACCGGTTCACAAGCTTTGCAGACCTCACCCCGCAAACCTCCTCACCTTACTGCTCTCTGGGAGCCACTCCCTCGCAGATGACGACCAGCACCTAGACAGTCCAAGCGGCTCCCTGACCAGAGATCCTGGAAGAGGACTGATACCAGACAATACTCCCTTCTTGGAGAACTTCAAGTTCCAATAGTTTCACCAGACTTCGAACTAATATACACCTAACAAGGTCGCCCTCATACCCTCTCCTTGCCAGAAGAAGCTCGGGAAGTTCTTACTAGATTACAACTCATGCTTCCCTCCGCCACCAGATCACGAGTCTTGCAGACCTCACCCCATAAATCTCCTCGCCTTACTCCTCTCTGGGAGCCACTCCTCGCAGATGACGACAGGCACCTAGACAGTCAAAGCAAACTCCTCAACCAGAGATCCTGGAAGAGGACTGATACTGGTCGATACTTCCTTCTTGGAACACCCCAAGTTTGAATGGTCTCATCAGACTTAGAACCGATACACCCTTTGACGGAATGCCTCCGACTGAACCTCTGAACTCCAATGTACTAACTTTTACATTTGCCTTTCAGGTTCTTCTCTTCCTTCCCCCTTTTGGTTGAAACTGTAGGCTCACTGCCGTGGCCTGGAGCTGGGTGCAACCCATACAGCTCAAAAGCAGTGCCGTGGGCAGTGGGACCTCATCACATATCTCCTACCTCCTATCTACAACTGTCCTGGTCTACACCACCCTGGTGGTTTGTGGCTTTCCCTGGTCCGGGCCATGCGGCAGGCAACTCCCCACCTCTCTATGGTAATGGTATGTAATTATATCGCTTCCACCATCCCCTTTTTATCCCCCCCGTTTTTTTTGTCCCCTCTATTTCCTCCCTTTGCCCCTCCCCCCCTCTCTGGCACCTGAACGGTTTTTATTTACTGGGTGGGGTAAAGGTTCTCTGATTATAGAATACAATGTGTGCTGGAGGGTTACCAGTGACCCCCCCAACCATGGCACCCCATGTAACTGCTGCCCTCGTTGGTTAAACAATTTTCTGTTTGGCACCCCTGTGGTCAAGCTTGCTACGTCATACTTCACTATTATTGTTTTTCTAACTCCCCCCATTTTTTTTTTATCAATTTTCAGGACACTGAGGCGCATGTACATATTACATTTGACATAAGACGGCTTATTGCTGGATCCCTCAGCTCTCTTCCTTTACACTCACCATGATGGCTACAGCTGAATTTAACAGTTTCCCACAACATACAGGGCTTTAACTCCCCCTGGAAACACTAATGAACCTTTACCTATTACGCTTCCTTTCGAGCCGACATTATAGGGCTCCAGGAAACTAGATTTTCCATATCCTCTTGCCCCAAGTACTTCCAATAAAAATTACCCCCAGGTGTACCAGGCAGCATTTAAAGGAGAAGCGGAGAAGCACCCTTGTGGCATGCCATAAAAACACCCCCTTCACATGTTCTCTCAAAATTGCGAACCCTATGGGTCAATATCTAATACTACAGGGGTAAATTTTTGACATGGAAGTGACTATAGTCAACTACTATGCCTCAAAAGCCTACCAACCTCGCTTCTTCTCTCACTTACTGAGGGTACTTTACCATCATAGAAAGGGTGCCCTAATCATAATGGGAGACAGTAACCTGGTGCTGAATAGACAGATCGCTCCTTGCCAACCAATATCTACAGGAGTCTACAAGTTATCCATTTGTTACAACAATACAAATCTCCTGGCACGATTCTGAGCCTGGACATAAACAAAGCATTTGATTCCCTTTCTCGGGAATATATGTACTATGCCTTAGAAAAATGGGGCTTCCTGCCTATTTTTAGATCCTGGGGGCAAGCCCTCTATCGTGGACCCTCTCCCACAGTTCGTTACCTCTCCAGACAATCCCCCCCCTTTCCTATCCAAAGAGGAACATGCCAGGGATGCCCTCTGTCTCCAATACTTTTTGTTTTAGCCCAGGACCCTTTGCTTTGCCTTATCAGAACCAACCCAGATGTGAAAGGAGTCACATTCGCCCATCAATCTTCTAAAGTTAGTGCATTCGCAGATGACCTAATTTTGACGCTGACCCAACCGCACACCTCCCTACTCACACTTTTTTCCATTCTAACCAAATTTTCCACCAGATTGGGTTTAATAGTAAATGAAGGTAAATTTTCAGCACTTAACGTTTCCCTCCCTGCAGCAGATGTGAACTTGCTGAAACAAAATTCAAATTTTGCCTGGCCCCTTAAACATCTGGTGTACTTGAGAATTAATCTTACAAACTTGTACCATACTCTCTACGAAGGCAATTATACCCCAAATTTCCATTCCCTAAAAACATTACTTGTCACTTGGTCACACCAACCCCTTTCGTGGATGGGTAAGATGAATGTGGTGAAAAGGAGTCCCCTCTTATGCCCTGAAATCCTTCCAAAACCACGTTGTTTTATATGGGCCAATAAAAGATCTTGGGTCACTAAAAGCACTTTGCTCGCACATCAAAAACAGGGAGGCCTGAGAGTTCCTAACTTCTCCAAGTACTACGTGGTGGCTCAAATCGCACCTTTATTCTCATTGTACGTAGCACGATTGGCCCCTCATGTATTACTGGCGGCTAAACAAACCATAGTGAAAGCATGGAATCAACAGTTTGTGTCCTATACAGAAGTTCGCCACCTTAATTTCTTCCTGATCTATGAAAACACTGTTCAGCATTCTCCTAGATACCCATGAGAGATTTCTCAAAATTTGGACTTAATGGATCCAACATGCTCACCCCGAGATTTCAGCAGTGAGTTTCACTACGCTATAGCCACATTATCGCTTATAACTCAAACCCAGGCATTCCAATTGTCCACATTCTGATCTCTTATTTTTTTTTACTGTCTTCCTTTTCCTAGACGTTCTTTTTCTGGCTCTTCCACAGGAATACCATATGAACCATGAGGGGTCTTATGCACCTTCCGTTTGGATCACAAATTTGCGTATCCTTCACGATACCTCTTTATACCAAAGTTGGCTGATGAATAATGAATATTTAAATACCTTTTGTGTATCAATTAACTTACACATGCAGTATGTTTTACTTCTGATCGTATGACAAATTGTTTAGAATTTTACCCATTTCAATTTTGTTCTACTCACATACGACTGCCATTAACAGATGTTTACTTTTGCATCTTGGTTTTATGTACTAGTTTGTGGTCACGTTTGATCTTTGTATATAAAGTGGTTAAAAAAACATAATAAAAATTATTGAAAGGAAAATCCATTCATACATTATGCATGACCATTCAAAAGTACCTCTTTGTTAAACTGGGAGTGTTTGTCCATGTCTGAAGGTTGCAGCTTTTTCTCTTTTTTTGGGCTTATTGCTTTCCCTTGTGAACTGTGGGAGGAAGCTGAAATACAGAGAATAAATATGTGTAATTATGTTTCACTCATTCAGGGAAAACAATAAAAGCTAATCTCTCAACTAAGCAAAATCTTACAAAACTATAAATCAAGCACAGTTGATAACCCTGCAGAGTCTTTACTCCACTTAGGCACTGTGCTGCGGTCACACAAAGCAATACTAAAACTGTGTATCAAATAATTACTTTAGAAAAACTTTTGGGTGGAGTATTGTCATACTGGTATTACAAAGAATTCCACAGCTTGTAGATGCTCAAAATCAGTACCAACACCACGAATAACCCACCAGTTTCTAGTGAAAATACTGTTATGAGGCATCAGATATAACATGGAGTCAAACAAGTCCAAGTTCTTAAAAACCCCAACTTTTGAGAGGTGCATCTGATAGAATACACACACACACAGATGTGCAATTCATATCGCCCGACACCCCAGCACATTTAGCGCCGGGGAGGTAGTTTTTTTCCAACCTTTAGCCCTGCAGCGCTGCCACCCGATTGCGGCCACACAGCCCACAGTGCCAGCCACCATGCCCCCGCACACTATATGTCCCTGGCCTCCGCTTGCCCATCTGCGGGCCCAGGACTGGTTCAGTAATTGCTTGGGGTATGACGGGATGCGGTAAGGAGGGAGGAGAGCAGACACATCTGCTCCCCTCCCCTTCGTGTCCTGACCCGGAAGTCATGTGACATCACTTCCGGGTACCTGTTGACAGATTCACGGCCATGCGATGTGCACTGCATTACATTCAGTGGAGCACAGGGTAGACATGCAGGGACTTTCAGACCCTGGATTCCCAAAAAAGAGAACCTGTCACCAAAAATCGTCACATAGGGGACTTTATCCCCTATGTAATTAAAAAAAAAAAAAATTTATTTTTTAAAAAATGCAAGTTACACCCAAGCATATACCCCCCCCCCCAACATTTTTAAAGACCCCCCCCACCCCCACATATATAAGCACGTACAAATGTAAAAGCAAGCACTGGGGCACCTACACATGAAAACGGCGATTGCAATACACACAGAATGAGAGCAATAATTCTAGCAGCAGACCTCCTCCGTAGCACTAAACTGATGACCTATAAGGGGCTTTAAAAGCATCACCTATAGAAAATATAGGGTACTAAAATTTTGTTACCGTTTCACGAGCGCACGCAAATTTAAAGGTTTGACATGTTAGATATCTATTTACTCGACACAACCTCGTCTTATATATTTTATGAAAAAAATGGATACATTTATTGCTTTTTGTGCGCTAAAATTAACTGAAGTGTAATTTGTACTGAAATTTTGCGTTTCCTAGACCTTTGTGATATCGTGTGAGAAAAAAAGTTGGAGCTACCACTATTTTATTCTCTAGGATCTCTGATTTCAGAAAATATAGAATGTTTTGGACTTTTGTGTAATCTGTGTAACTGTGTGCAAAAAACGCAAAAAATGCTCTGGCAGCAAAAGGGATAAAGGATAAGCCCGACACTCCCCTTTCCTGACAAGCACCCAATCGGTCCTCATTACACTGCAAGGACTTTCTCCTCCCTGCTAGTTCCCGGGTGCGGTGCTGGAGACAGGCAGGGAGGGGAAGAGGAGATATACAGAACAATGTTAAAAATATTAAACATTTAAGTCACCATAAAGCCCCTTTTGTTTTTAAAATCCCCAGACATTAAAAGGAGAGTTTAAATACAGTCTTGCTTAAGGCAGAGTTCCACTAAAAAAACCAAAAAAAAAAAAACCATATAAATAAAAGTCAGCAGCTACAAAAAAACTGTAGCTGCTGACTTTTAACATACAGACATTTACCTGTCCCTCGGTCCAGCGAGGTCTTCACCACCGCTGGTTTCACTGGCATTCTTCTCTTCCTGGTGCCGGCATCTTCAGTGTGGGCAGCCAGCTATGACAGCTTGTGGCTTCACAGCCGGGTGCCCACTACGTATGCGAGAGAAGTGTTGCACTTTGTGAATTGGCCCCGTAGTCTTCCGGGGACCTGTCACATGTCCTAGAAGACTACGAAGGGGGGGGGGGGGGTGTTGGACAACTTCCGCTCGCCTAGGCAATCGCAGCAGAGGTGGGAACCAGTCAAGTTTGGGTACCTGCTCCCCAAAGGTGCCAATCCTTAATGGGGAGCGCGGGACAAGGACTTAAAGCGGAACTTCCCCTTTTGGGTGGAGCTGCGCTTTAAAATGTACTTATTTTTAATAAATGTGTGTGTAATAAAATTATATATAAATAACACACACACACACACACACAGACTATGCAAAGACCAACAAGAAAAGATTAGGAAATAATGCCAATACATAGATAATAACTAATCTAATTCTAGGGAACTAATTGTTAATTCAGGATTTAGACAAAGGCCACCCATGATGCCAGTCAGTTATAACACACCTCGTATCTGCACACACATCCAGTTGTATCAAAAATAAAATGCAGAAACTGCTTTAAAAATACCTAAACCAGGAATTTTGCAATACTAATTTATTATGTGGATGCGAAGGATCAAAGCATTCAAGCTAAAGCTATACACAGTAAGATGATACCAATGTTCAGATTAGTTTTGCTCAAATAAGAATTTTCATTCTCACCTAGCCTCTTGCCTTGCTGAGGAACTTCAGCATCTGTTTTGCTTGATAGACTACTGTCATATATGGAGGGCCTCAGATTGGCAGAAGGAGGTGCCAGCAGGCTACAACATAGAAAGCAATAAATGTCTTGAGTGTCCAAAAGTCTTTTTTTTTTCCTTCAATAAAAGGGTTTTTTTTCTTACTGTACCTGTTCACAGGTGATGAGGTAGAATCTGACCCACTTCTTGGGCGTGCGGAATGCTAAAGAAATAGAACCACCAATTACTACATTTATTCATACAGTATCATATACCAGTACTGTTAATTATTAAAAGTATATTATTAAAATACTTGTAACAAATATACAATTAGATTTGCCCTAGGAACTTTTAGCAAAGCTTGGGTACTGATGGCTTTGAAGGGCTATATCAGACAATGAATGAGAAAACAAAGTGGCAAAGACAGCCAAACATGGACACACTCAGCTCCAGGACCCAGTGGTGAGATGGTGGACGTATGACACACTGTATCAGCAGACTGACATCTGCAGGTTGGAAATTTCTACATTTTTATCCATCTCTGTAGAGAAGTGCAAATATAGATTTGATCTCCCAATACTTCCTCAAAAGGTATCATGTTCAGGGGGTGCGGGATCGTATGACCACTATGATGCTCAATGAACAGATGTTGAGTATCTGCAACAACTCCCAACGTAAATTTGTGAAAATATGGGAGCCGTGGTTGCAATATGCCTTTCCCACGCTCCCCCCAGCTAGTCTGGGGATGTGATGGTGTTCGGTATTGGCGTTCTTGGACCCCTGCTCTTTGGTTTTGCTCTACTTTTTTTTTTTCTCTTTTTACTCCTCCTTTCTTTTATTTTTCTGTTTGTTTTTGGCGTGATAGTGGATAGCTGCTTTTAGTTTGTTACAGTCAGAGTTATATTAATGTTCTTGTAATTTATGTGCCATTGATAGCCCCTGCGTGGGCGCACCTTTTGCTCTGTTGGTGTTAGAGCACTGTCTCTATATTTTTTTAATTTTTTATATGTGCAATTGATAGCCCCTGCGTGGTCGTGTTTTGTTGCCTCCGTTTTATACGGTTTAAACTAATAAAAAACCTTGAAACTCAAAAAGGTATCAAGTCTATAATATACAGAAAAATGGATAAACAAGCTGAAAAAAAAACAAACAAAAAAAAAAAAAAAAAAAAAACTGATTAAAAGAGTTGAGAACCATATGTTAAAAGCAGAATTAAATCCTTCAACTGAAGGAGTCATTTAAATGTGAGCATGAAGGGGGGGGCTTCGGAAAAAATGTGTGGTTGAGCTGCACTTTTTAGCGCTCCCCCCACCCCCATCATCACCATGCTGCAGATGGGAGCGGGCTGTTTACATGTTGCTGTCACGATGCTTCATGCCCACAGCAAAAGCTACCCAAAATGTAGTGATGTAAGTGGCAAGACCGAACACGACCCATTTGGGTGAACAGGGAAGCACCACAAAACGCCCCACAACTGTCTGCAATGAACATAGTTGCAACATGTTTTTCAGCATGGGTTAAAACAGGCAGTGAGGAGGCATTACATCGCCTCCTCACCGCCTGTCAAGCACCTATTCAGAAAGCAGTAGATTCAGACACATTTCTAAATGTGCCCTTATTGTTTTTCAAAAAAGTTGTATTAAAAGCATGCCGTAAATAATAACCGTCACAGTTCTGGTGCTCTCAGATTTTTCTTGTGTACAACCACATTATGGATTAAAAAAAAAAAAATCATTTTGACAAAAAATATTCATCCCACTGAATAAAAGTAGAGCCAACATAACTATCATAGGGAAACAAAAAAAATGAAGGATATCTCAGCCTTGGCTGAAATATGCAAAGAATCATAACATGCAAGGAAAAAAAAAAAAAAAAGACAAATTAACGAACCTTTAAATTTTTTGAGTCCATTTCTGAGGAACACTGTTCAAATGGAGTGAGTGTTTTTGCATATATCTTTGAGCAAGACATCTCTAGTTGGGCAGGTAGTTCAGAGGTGGTTGGAGGAAGACAAACAAAAACGTCTGGCGTAAGAGGCTTTGACTCAGATGAAACACCTAAGCAGGGCCAAGTATGATGTCCCTGAGAACTAAACCTACTTGGCCAATTCGGACTCACTCCTGGAAGGTTTTCAACAGAAGAGGCTTGTTCCAGATTTTGTGGAGCGCCACTATCAGATTTTATGCTTGTCAGTTTGTTCTCTGTCTGGAAACCAGGTGCACTTTGTGTTTCCAGAAGGTTTTTGTGTTTTGGTGATGATATTGGAGCACTATTTGTTTTCAATAGGAGGTCACGGCCATTAGGTGAAGCAGGAACATGACTTGGATGTGAAGAAAATGGAGACTTGGCCATCAATGGTGATGTGTTTCTTTCATGTGTTTTGCTTGTGTTTGAAGAGACAGGAGATTTGGAGGGGGAGACTGAAACTTTCTTTAAAATAAGAGTCACACAGCTTAATTTCTCCTGGAGTTTACACACAAGATTTTTATGAGTCCATCCAACCTAGGTAAATATAAGAGTATTAAATCACAAAATCAGGTCAAAAAGATCTATTAAATTTTTTTTGTGTGTGTTTTCAGAGATTATAAAATACATATTGTGCATGTGTTTAAAAAAGATATTTTTTTGCACTCATTGAGTCCATTGAGGGACACGAAAAGTCTTAAACCTATGGGTTTTATTGCAGCCTACAGGCTGTAGGTCAGCCAAGGTTACATCCCCTAATACTACTACCACCATCAATAATAATAATAATCAACATGCCTCAGTTTTGTTGCAAGGCAGAGCACAGAGAATGATCAAACTCTTTGGGTTCCAAGGAGAATGATTCTACAGTGAATGCAAAAATCCTGTTTTCTTTCTCACCCATTGAGGAACACAACAAGCATTAACATCCAAGAACAGTCCTACTAAGGGATGGATAATACAGCAAACAATCAAAAAGGGACGGTATGTTTGAAGCTATCATCAGATAAGGCAAAAACATCCACCTGAAAGAAAATCAGAGAACATGTGAACAGAAGACTAGATGGCAGCCTTGCAAATCTGGGAAACAGTTTCTGAATGTCAAAAAAATCCAGTAGGAGCTCACAGGCCTTGTGGAGCAAGTTGTAACAGAAAAACGGGGAATCTGATCCTTGAGACCATTTTTCTGAACTAAGCCATGGCTGAGAAACTTGCAAACCCTGAACCATACTCAGATCCCTGGCAACAGGGCCAGCAGTCTCCCCTAAACAGAATGGAAAGTGTAGATAACCTTATTTTTAAGTGCTAAAAGCCAAACACTGATCCAGACCTGCAGGAAGGAGAGAATGTGTTTCATGGAGAAACTCCTGGGGACAGCTTCTAGTTTTAAGCCTGAGCATCATGATAAAAATCACAGACATCATAAAAATCACCTCTCCCTCTGTCCTCTCAGTCATGCCATTAAAGCCTGACACAGAAGAAATATGGCAAATCGGCCCTTGGGACCAGAGTTCAATAGCAATCCAGGAGGTGTGCACAAGAACCTCAGCTCTCGGAGACTCTTTCCCTCCTCATTCGCTTCCACTGCTGTCAAATCACAGCCAGTGAGTCAATGAGGAGAGAGGGTGGGGCCAAACCGTGGCTGTGTGTGTGAATGGATACACAGAGCAGTGGCTCAGGAGCAAGCCCGCTTGGGTGCCCCAAAAAAGAGGATTGCTCTGGAGGCACTTGGCAGAAGGGAGGTGACAGAAGAATCCAGCAGGGGACCTGAGAAGAGGGAGGATCAGGGCTGCTCTGTGCAAAACCACTGCAAAGAGCAGGTAAGCATAACATGTTTGTCACTTTAATGAGAACATCTGGGGCTGGTCCAAAATGGCTTTGTCCCTCAAAAGGGCATGCATATGAAGTGCTTCTTACAAGGCAGCTCAGAATTATACAGTCTTTGCAGGAAATGGCTCAAAAGCCACTAATCCATTCAAAAAATGAGGGCTGGAATGTGTTTTCTGAATTGCTTCCTAAGAGTGGGGCTGAGACACGACCTGCAGAACATACATCCAAGCTGCCTGAAGTACAGTGGGATATATACCAGCCCTGACATGTAAACAAGCAGATATGCCAGATATACATAGAAGAAAGCCAGCATGATAGGAGATTGTTTTTGAGTCAACAGAATGTGTAGCTGCTGTAACCCTGGTAAAGCAACGGTGTCAGAAGCTGGGCTTTAAGCTTCATGTGTCAATTAATATACAGTACACATGTCACAGCTGTCATCATATGGTGACCATCACCACCCAAATTAAATTTAAAAAAAACAAAAAAAAAAAAAAAAAAAAACACACTACTTATACAACGACTAGAAAACTCTATCTATCCCTTCCCCTTGCTGTCCCGCTGTACACACACCAATTATGAAAAGGGCTCTTGGAAGATGCGACTTTTAGAGGCATGCCTACCTACGTCGATAGGAACTGAGCTACAAGCAGTTTTTTTTCGTACGTGTATTTTAGAATCCTGGTGATATCCTTTGGAGTAATAAAGGCTGTTTTTCAAATTAATGCGGAGACATGTTCTAGAGGGTGAAAGGAAGAATTTTGGTAAAATGTGGGCAATGCCAGGACATATACTAATAAAGAAATCCACAACCTAATAGACCGAATGCATGGCTAGGTTCATTCAATGTAGTTGGCTATGAACAGTAAGACTGTGTTTGACCTGTTCCGCATAACCAACACATATGTAAAGAGTAGGTTAATCATTAATCATAAGCAATCTCTTTTTGTCTCAGGCCACAACACTTCCTTAATCACTGACCAGGAACAAACATGCAGTAGGTGATAAAAACTCCTGATACACATAGATATGTAGCACTACTCCCTTAAGGATTGCTGATGAATTTGGGTCCCCCTATAGTCCTGCACAGCCAGACATTTAGCATTTTCCACCCAAGCTTTCACCCATAGACAGAAATCAGTCCTTGAATGTTTGTTTTGTTATTTTATTGAGGGGATTAGAACTTGGATAGAGTAAGGGGTGTATAGGATGCCTAAGGGAACCAAAATCTGAGGACAACTTCCTGAACTATTCACAGCATCTTTTCTCTGACAGTCTCTGTTGGAGTGCTAGCCAGCAGCTCCAGTTGTACTACCCCAGAACTCCTCTTCACCCAGCATCTGGAGTCTTTCTTCCTTAGCAGGGGATGTGGCTCTGGGTAACAGTCACTAGCAGAGGGCTAATTTGGTTTCCCACCAGAGTGTTCCTTCCCCTACCCCCCAGGGGTGCAGGTATACTCACTCTGATACTCTCCTGTACCGCTTGTGGAATGGCTGCTGCTACCAGGCCTATCAACTGGGCTGTTCCTTCCCTGCCATACAGGTGGTCCATTCTCAGGGGGTCAGTGAGTCCTGAGTTTTCCTCCTTTCCTGCCTTAGGCCCCATCCCACTAGGCCTCCTGGCAACCTTCTTCCTCCAGCCTCACATTTTCCTGCTTCTCACTTCTGTTCCTCTACCACTCTCCTTCTACTGAGCAAGCTTTTCCACTTTTTAAAAAGGTAGTCCAGTCCCTTGCCAAGCCTTCTGTTGGGATTGGATTGGCTGAAGTCCCTTAAGAGTGTAGCCAGCCACTCCTCAGATCCACTCACTGCCTCCAAAGCCCCCCTTTGAAAGCCTCAGAACAAAGGAAAATTCCAGAGGAGCTGGCCTGCAGAGTTTCACAGCCTTGACCAGAATTTGACCCCTCTGGCTACCTCACCTGAGCTGCTAATCAGCTCCTAACTAACCATTACTGTCTAGCTCCCCCTAGCTAAACTAGGACGGTGCTAAAGAAATATAGCATTTTCAAAGGAAGATTGGCAAAGACATCCCACGTATGTCCCAAGATAGGTTTCCTTTATGGACGGGCAAAGAATAAAAAAGTGGTAGTAGTATTTAGTATTCCTTTTCCTATTTCAAAGTAAAACAAATATAGTAACTTAAAGAGTATTCAAGTCCAATCACTAAATCTCATATCTTTACCATGTTAACGTAATGACATTTTGTCACTTTTGGTCCTTTGAAAAAGGGGGGGTGGCTAATCTTAAGAGCTGCATTTTTCCTAAATCCTTCCTCCAGTTTGGATGTACATACCCTCAAATTAAGCCTGAGAGAGTGCACTTTCAGCCCATGTCCATTATAGAACTATAGCTTGAAAAGGAAGAGCCACACCACGCCGTGACGTCAAGCCGCCGGAGCAACGTGGAGCTCCAGTGGCCATCTTATTATATCAGATGGTTAGTCCTAATCGATCTCTGTCTCCTGTTTTTTACTATTTACCCTTTGATGCATCACAATAAAGTTATCTTAATACCTACTACACTATAGGAGTATCCTTGTTCCTACCCCCTGGGGGAGTTCTTTAACCTACAGACCCACCACCCCAGGACGGATCATTACTTTCTAGTGGATGCCTGCATACCCAGAGAGTAACAACAGGTCTTGAAAAGGGGGACCCCTAGAGGATGAGGATCACCTGCACGAGCCTCATAACATCCAGTTTGATGACCCACCATCCCTTAGAGCAGTGGTTCTCAACCTTTCTAATGTCGCGACCCCTTATATACAGTTCCTCATGTTGTGGTGACCCCCAACCATAAAATTATTTTCGTTGCTACTTCATAACTGTAATTTTGCAGTGGGAGGACTAGCGCCCCATCGTGGGTGCCAGCGAGGGGAGGACTAGCGCCCCATCGTGGGTGCCAGCGAGGGGAGGAATAGCGCCCCATCGTGGGTGCCAGCGAGGGGAGGAATAGCGCCCCATCGTGGGTGCCAGCGAGGGGAGGAATAGCGCCCCATCGTGGGTGCCAGCGAGGGGAGGAATAGCGCCCCATCGTGGGTGCCAGCGAGGGGAGGAATAGCGCCCCATCGTGGGTGCCAGCGAGGGGAGGAATAGCGCCCCATCGTGGGTGCCAGCGAGGGGAGGAATAGCGCCCCATCGTGGGTGCCAGCGAGGGGAGGAATAGCGCCCCATCGTGGGTGCCAGCGAGGGGAGGAATAGCGCCCCATCGTGGGTGCCAGCGAGGGGAGGAATAGCGCCCCATCGTGGGTGCCAGCGAGGGAGGAATAGCGCCCCATCGTGGGTGCCAGCGAGGGGAGGAATAGCGCCCCATCGTGGGTGCCAGCGAGGGGAGGAATAGCGCCCCATCGTGGGTGCCAGCGAGGGGAGGAATAGCGCCCCATCGTGGGTGCCAGCAAGGGGAGGAATAGCGCCCCATCGTGGGTGCCAGCGAGGGGAGGAATAGCGCCCCATCGTGGGTGCCAGCGAGGGGAGGAATAGCGCCCCATCGTGGGTGCCAGCGAGGGGAGGAATAGCGCCCCATCGTGGGTGCCAGCGAGGGGAGGAATAGCGCCCCATCGTGGGTGCCAGCGAGGGGAGGAATAGCGCCCCATCGTGGGTGCCAGCGAGGGGAGGAATAGCGCCCCATCGTGGGTGCCAGCGAGGGGAGGAATAGCGCCCCATCGTGGGTGCCAGCGAGGGGAGGAATAGCGCCCCATCGTGGGTGCCAGCGAGGGGAGGAATAGCGCCCCATCGTTGGTGCCAGCGAGGGGAGGAATAGCGCCCCATCGTTGGTGCCAGCGAGGGGAGGAATAGCGCCCCATCGTTGGTGCCAGCGAGGGGAGGAATAGCGCCCCATCGTTGGTGCCAGCGAGGGGAGGAATAGCGCCCCATCGTTGGTGCCAGCGAGGGGAGGAATAGTGCCCCATCGTTGGTGTCAGTGGGGGGAGGAATAGTGCCCCATCGTTGGTATTAGTGACACAAATGATGGGGCACTATCCCTCCCACTGACACCAATGATACTTACCTTGCTGACTCCTGCTCCAGCCTGGGCTCGCTCTCTCCCTCTCCCTTCTACAGCCAGCATACCTGGCTGCAGCAGCAAAATTTGCACTTACCTGTCAGCTGTCTTCCTTCTCTGGCCTCTCTCTTCACTCGCTCCTGCAGCTCCCTCGATCTTCTTTGATCTCCGCGCGCTGCCGCTCGGCTCCTCCTCTCCAAGCTCCACCTCCTCGCCGGTGATTGGCCGCCTGTGTGCCTCTCCTGAGCTACAGTTCCGGTGGCCAATCAGCGGCGAGGAGGCGGTGACAGGGGCAGCATATCCCGCCCACACATCGCCGGAGACAGGAGCGGTGTCTCGGTTCCTAAGACCATCGGAAATATGTGTTTTCCGATGGTCTTAGGCGACCCCTGGGAAATGATCGTTCGACCCCCAAAGGGGTCGCGACCCCCAGGTTGAGAACCGCTGCCTTAGAGGGAAGACAACCCATCTCCTGACCCTCTTCCTATCTGATGACATCTGGATTATTTACATAAGGCACAAATAACATGTGTGTCCGGTGAGTGCGCATTACCTTTATCAATATTGCACTGATACCGAGTCCAGAGTCACCAAAGCACAAGAGTCACTTTACCCTACACATTGTTTACATATCGCAACTTTATCTAATTCCTTATTGTTGGATCAGAGAAGGGATATTTATATACATAATCTTATCCGTATTTGCTTGGGCTTTATATACTTTTTAGCGCTGCACTTTCTTGTTTATTATTGATGTTCCAGGGATATATTGGTTACCTTTTTTTGTGCACAGCAGTTCTTTTTGATCTGTATTTAGGCGCTCGCACTTCTGTTTACATATAGCTTGAATATGTTTTGGTAAAATACCCCATTTCCCCTAAAACAAGACCTACCCAGAAAATAGGACCTAATGCTATTTTTGGGAATTGCAAAAGTATAAAACCTACCTCAAAAATAACACCTAGTTGTGATCAGGGTTTTTTTTCAGCTGGAACATGGCGGAACACCATTCTGCCACCTCCGGCACTGGCCCTGCACAGACTCATATCTACTGTCTCTTATAAACACAGAAGCGCGGCTGAAGTGACAGCACCATCCACTCTCACAGAACCTCCCTACCTCTGTACTCACTGTGGGACAGGGAAGGAACAGATATCTGCGGGTGCACTATGCAGTGTGTTTAGGGGTGGGGCATCTCCTCCTGCAGCCTAATGCATGGAAGCCGATGCCCCAAGAGTGATCACCAGCCAGTGGGGAAGAGGCGGAGCGGTGAGTAAGTGCGCTTGGTGCACTGTGTGGGAATATAGGACCCGAAAAGGGAGTTACTATAGAGGGGCCGGCTGCTGACAGCTGTGTTTTGAAAAGCTAGTTAACCATATGAGGGCAGTGGAAGGGGGGAGGGGGGGGGGGGGATGTGCAAAGGTGAGCTGCAGTCAGGTGTTGCAGAGGTAAATTGAGCCAGGTGAGTTGCAGAGAGGGTGCATAGGTGAGCTGCGGCTGGGGGGGTGCAGAGGTGAGCTGAGTTGAAAACCCACCTTTGCACCCCCCAGGCCTCAGCTCTGCACCCCTCTTCACCCCGTCTGTGGCTCATATCTGCACCCTGTCTGAAACTCACCTGTCAAGTCACCCCTGCAACACCTGACTGCAGCTCACAACTGTCATCAACCAGCCCTCTTATAGTAACCCTCATCCACAACTGCCTGCAGCTCATCTCTGCACCTCCTGTACACAGCTGGACATTTAAAATATAAGACCTACCCCGAAAATAAGACCTAGTGTGTTTTTTTTGAGCCAAAAAAAAAAAATATAAGAGTTACTTATTTTCGGGGAAACACGGTACCTGAAAAAAAACTAAAATTGTGCCTGTGTCCAAATATATATGGACCTAACTGCATATGCAAACACTTACCTTGTAAAACAACCCATTCAGTTTTAAATATAAAATTAAAGGCAAAACATTGTGTATATATTTAAAAAAAAAAAAAAAAAAACAATATCTTTTTTTCCCTGTTTTATAAGTGATCACATACCCATAAGCTTCTTTTGTAGCTGAGAACAGAGAGCTAGGGTAGGGGAAACAACAGTACACTGAACTTCACAGTGAAGAGGAGGAGGAAGAAGAGGGTGTCAGGACAAGCCTGATCATTGGAGGAGAGCAGGCTGACTTCCCAGCACAGCTTAAGAACTGACCACGCTTTGCGCTCATTCCTAGTGTGGTCAACTTTTAATAGGAAAGCAGAGGGACTGGCAGAAACACCAGGGATTTCACACAAAAGAAGCAATACAAAGGAAACAGGATACCTTTTCATACAAACACATGGTACAGCGGGCACCTATCAATAATATGAAATGCTGGGTTTTATATACTCTTTTGGCATGATATGAGGGTCCTGAATTTATAAATAGTGAAATGATTGTTGGAGTACCCCACTTCAAATCTGTTTTTTGGACATTTCATGAAACTGTTCCATTCCACCAGTTCTGGTCACCAATGGATTTTTAAGATGCTCTTAACTTACCACAACCTGATCATTCACTTTAATTATCTCATCTCCTGGAAGGATTTGTTCACACTCTCTGGCTGCAGACTAAACAAAAGAAGGAAAGTGACAAGTTACACCTGAAAATACAGGTTTGACAACACGAATGGACAAAAGAGAAAAAAGCCATACAACACCACACCAAAAAGTGCAATCCACATGAAAACAAGCCATACAAGAAAAAAAAAGTATAATTATTCTAAAAGAAGTATCTAGATTTTAAATACAATTAATTTAAAATAGAACTTCACCCAAAAGGGGAAGTTCCACTTTACAGTGATATGAAACGTTAAATTTTTTTTTTTTTGTAAAACAAACATGTTATACTTACCTGCTCTGTGTAGTGGTTTTGCACAGAGCAGCACCAATCCTCCTCTTCTCGGGTCCCCTGCAGGCTCTCCTGGCTCAGACTTTCTGTCAGGTGCCCTCATAGCAAGCAGCTTGCTATGGGGTCACCTGCTGCTCTGTGAGTCCATTCACACACGGAGCCGTGGTTTGGCCCTGCCCCCCTCTCTCATTGGCTGACTGGCTGTGATTGACAGGAGCTGGAGTCAATGGCTCCTGCCTGCTGTCTCAGCTAGCTAATGAGGAGGCAGAGACCTGGGAGAGCCAAAGCTGTTGTGCACATTGCTGGGTCTTGATGGGGCTCAGGTAAGAACTGAGGGGGCTGGGGGCACTGCTGCACACAGAAGGTTTTTTACCTTCATGCATAGAATGCATGAAGGTAAGAAAACTGAGTCTTTACAATCTATACCAGCTCCCACTTCTGCTCAGATCACCTAGGTGATCTGAGCAGACATTTAGCTCCCACTCTTTACCCGCAGCTTTTGGACATGTGTATGTGTTGCTCACGCAAGATCAGTAGGAAGCCGGATGTAAAGCCACAAGATGTCACAGTCGGCTTCCCACAATAAAGACGCTGGCATCAGGAACCCAGAGACTAATACGGAACAAGTCCAGATGAGGATGGCGCTGGATGCCTGTACAGTTGTCATTTTATTGGAAGTCAGCAGCTGCAAATCCTGGATTCGCAGCTGCTGCCTTTAAATTTTTTTTTCGTAGCATGAAGAACCTCTTTAACTGCCTCTCATCCGCCATATAAGGTAATGATGGGTGCAAGGCGGTTCTCTCATTCTGGAAGGACGTCATATGACATCCTCCCACTCTAACAGCACATGCGCGGCTCCGGGGGCACGCAACGCGGTGATCGGTGGTGCGCTGTGTCAACGAAAAAAAAAAAAAAGCCAAAAATGTCGGCTCGGTCATGTGATCAGCTGTGTCCAATCACAGCTGATTGCATATAAATAGGGAAATGCCGGTTATCGGCATTTCTCTCCTGACGAGCTGTCACGCTGACAGCTCGTGAGGAGTAAAGAGCCGGTAATCGGCATCCCTCAGGAGGGGACATGTACACTGATGATCAGTGTAGCCCAGCAGTGCCACCTGTCAGTGCTCAATGCCACCTGCCAGTGCCCATCTGAGCTGCCTTTCAGTGCCACCTATCAGTGCTGCCAGTCAGTGCCACCTATCAGTGCTGCCAGTCAGTGCCACCTATCAGTGCTGCCAGTCAGTGCCACCTATCAGTGCCGCCAGTCAGTGCCGCCATTCAGTGCCCATCAGTGATGCCTGTCAATGCCCATCAGTGCCACCTACCAGTGCAGCCTATCAGTGCCCATCACTGCAGCCTCATTAGCGATCAGTGAAGGAGAAAAATCACTAAATTTACAAAAATGTTATAACAAATCTAAAACTTTTTTTTTTCAAAATTTTCGGTTGTTTTTGGTTTGTTTAGCAAAAAATAAAAATCCAAGAGGTGATTAAATACCACCAAAAGAAAGCTCCGTCTCAAAAAAATGATAAAAATTTAATATGGGTACAGTGTTGCATGACCGCGCAATTGTCATTCAAAGTGTGACAGCACTGAAAGCCGAAAAATTGGCCTGAGCAGGAAGGGGGTATAAGTGCCCAGTAGGCAAGAGACTGTCACCAACCCAAAAAATTACAGGAGAAAAAAAAAAAAAAAAACACAAAAAAAA